TCCCAATCTAGACTTTTCCATTTTCTCTATTTTTTTAAATTCTTGTTTAAACGTAGGCTTTAAATTTTGCCTGTTACGTATAACCACCTTGACATTTGGATTGTTTGAGTCACATTCTTCACACTAGAATTTCATATGTCTAGGTTTGTTTTGGCTGTTCAAATCATTTTCATTCCGTGAACAGGTACTGATGTCATAGAATCCTATAAACTCTATAAATTTCAATTCATTTGTGAGTCAGCAAAATATTGTTGACATGCAGGGGTGTGGATTTTTTTTTTTTTTTTAAACTACTTGTCCAAGGACTAAAGCGGGGACCAATCTACTTGTCCCTCATGACAATCTACTTGTCTTGAAAAAATAGTTCTAAGAAGCGCTTTTCATTTGTCAGTGCAATCACCTGATTTTTTTTTATTGTTTATTATTTTATTTATCACTTTTTTTATTTTTTTACTTATTTTACACTTTTTTATCACTTAATTTTTTTTCCACTTAACTTTATTGCTATCACACAGGGGATAATAAGCCCCTGTGTGATAGTGTTTGGAGGTGACAGGTTCTCTTTATGGAGCGTGACCTCCAATACAGAAGATCGATCACAGCATTGTGCCCGATCTTCTGTACAGCCCCACATGTGACAGCTGAGAAAGGAAGCACTGCAAGTACAGAGCAGATTGGAGAACAGACATTCTCCAGTCTGCTCTCCGCAGTCTATCCTGAAGTAATTTACCGTGGTCCTAGGTCTCCCTGAAGAGCGGGAGACTGCGAATGAAACCCACAGCGGGGAGGGGGTGTGGCGGTGGATGGGACTGATGGGGGGGAGTGACAAGCAGGCTGCTATAAAAGTGATCTGGGCGGCTGCACAGCTGCCCAAATCACTTGTACAAAAGGAGTGGCAGCTTCCCAGCTTTATATTTAGCCCTGTTTGCTGAGGCAAGGCTAAATGTAGAAAAAAACACCCACCCAACACCTGGAACTACATGTCCCGGGTGTCGTGCGATAGGAGTTCCACACCTCTGATATTGGTGAGGCCTGTACAGAATAGGAAAAAAAAAGAACTGAATTGTGTTATCTGTTTGTGTCAAGGGAAAATCACCCCCAGGTAATCGCAGTATGTCTGAGGCGAATGGCTGTGGGCTTTTTGAGCTATACATACTTTCTATAGCGCTTCCCACCCGCAGCTGTTTACATGGGTCTCCAGGAGCGATTCCTTAGACTGCCCCAAACGCAAGTGTGAATGGGGCCTTGTAAGTAGATTCTTTATTATGCAAATCTTGACCAGCACCTGTACTGTACTGCCTCCTGTTCCTCACTAAACACCCATTATTGTTATGGGTCATCTCACTGCCCAATATAGAGGCTCAGCAGGGGGAGAAGCCAAACTCTCGAGCACATGCACTACTTGAGATTTTCATAACACTGTGCCCATAGGTACTCTTTAAAGTAACACTCATGAGTTAAATCTTAATATGCATTCAAGTACCTTAACTATTAACAAATGTATCTTATTTGTGTATCACTCGGCTGTATATCCTCAAATCATCTCTGAATTCATACTGACACAGGCCCCTGGAAAAGTACCTTGTCCCCATGTCGATGGGGTCAAGGATCTCTTCGCAAACAACCCTGGCCCGGTGGTTGTGGTGGTCTGTGGGCAGGGGGCTTGTCTGCATCTGGGTACCCTATTTCATAAAGGGGGCACCCAGATGCCGCCCCCCCTTGTGAACGAGTAATGGATAGTTGTACTCCTACTAATTCACTAAAGAGTTAAATAAAATGTAAATAAAAACTCAACACCTTAGAATACAATCCTTTTAATTGAACAAAAAACAACACAAGTTTTTGACAATTTATTTTTTAAAAATGTCCTACAATGTCAGTCCCGACGCCCGGCTGGAGAATGGTTGAAACCTTTGTCAGGTCATCTGTGTGCAGTTGAGGAGATTTCCCTTCACTTATTTTCTTGTAGACAGGAAGTGAGAGGAAGTGAAATTAATCTTTCAATAGTGAGGGAAAGGCGCTCTTAGACAGTTGTCATCGGAGGAAGCCTCCCACTGTACTTTCCTTCTATTCCAGTGCTTCTGGCAATTTAAATCTTTGTGGCAACACAGAGAGCAATAAAGCTCCCAAACTAAAATAACCAGTATACCCCTTGTGGACCAGAGCAGTTTTACATTTCAGCTATGGCCTACTGATTTGCCAGTAATTTTGTAAATTCTTTGATACCCAAATAATACTTTTTTGGAGCACAAACAAGGCTTTATTTGGCCAGATTAGCTTTCAGAAATGTTATTTTCCTTGTATGCCAAAGGAAAAACGAAAGAAAACAAATGGTTGTTTCCTGTTTGACCAGAAATGGCTTTGAAACAAAGTTGGATAAAAACTGTAATCCATAAATACAAATAACACATGAAAAATTCACAACATGTATACAGTATATTTTATTAATAGTATTGTTATTGGCCCGTTCATACCAAAAGTAATAACAGCAATAATAGTTCAGCAATACAGTTTAGTTCAAGTCCATCACGCAACCATTGGAGTTTCACTATCATTGGTCGCCGTATGGCTTTCATTTTTAGGTAAAGTGGGGAAGGGATAGACTTTCTGACATGTTTTCCTTTCTGTGTTCTCTTTGGAAAGATTTACCCTTGCTATTTGTCTTTGTCACCCATTGTCACTATGACAGAAAGTGATTCAGAATATTACAGTTGTTACCAGAACAGGAGAATATGGGAAATCTTCACGTGATATCACTTTTTGTCCAATATTTGGTGAATTGGACCACAATTCGCCATAAAAATGTTTGCTGATCTAGATAGAGATTATCATGCTGATTGACAGATCAGATATCTATGACAATTGACTGATTTCGTGGAAAATAATTATTTCAATGTACATATAGGCAAAATGTTTGTTTTTTTCATTTTGGATAGAGTGTAAAGGATTTTAGATTCTGTCAGGTTTTTAGTGATATATCTCTCTTTGCTAGGTCGATTCAGCCTCTCTATTTGTCTTGGTGACTGTTGTCACTGAGACCACAAGTAAAAGGAAGTCACAAATATTTAGGGTTGTCGCCAGAACTGGAGGTGAGAGGAAATCTCCCAATGTGGACATCTGTTCGATGACAGCTGTTGAAGAGGGGATTTACTCTCACTTTGTACAGTTTTCTGCTCATTTCTTGTTGCATCTCTGGGTCAGCAACTGAAGGGCACTTTCTGCAATGGGACCCAGACCTCAAAAAGTAGACTGATACATTTTCTTATTGTTTATTTCCCAATCCAAAACGAAAAAGGTTTTGGATATACCTTCACTTGATGATAAACACTTGATATGATCTCCACATGATAATTTTTAGTCCTAAAGATCAATTTAAACGAATCTTTCTAACTAAATGTCAATTGATAGATTGATAAAGTTTACAAGAATACAATTAGTAGAATTAGACAATTAGTGCAATCCGTACAATTATCAATGGAGCAGGACCTGTCAATGTAGCTGCTATGCTTCGCTGTGCTTTATAGTAAAGTAGACATTCTACTGAAATAGCTAATGATTAATCACTGGGGG